GATGTATCATAGCTTGTTAGAATCGTCTCACTGAGATGAATCGAATGGTGGTAGTTTTATCCTTTTGCGATCACTGGCTGATGAGTTATTCAACAAAATGTTAAGCATCGGTATTATTATATTTCTTGATTTACGTTTACTGCGCCATTTAACATTTTGCTAAATTTCTCGGTACCTAGTGATTGTAAAAAGACGATTAATAGCTCGTTGGAATCGCCTCATCAAGACGAATCGAATGGTGGTAAGCTCATCTCTCTGTGATCAATATCGACGGAGTTACTACTTAAAAACCATTTAATATTTTTTAATTTCGGAAATTGATCTAGTGATTGGATTTCAATTTATTTTATACCATTAGATTCGTCGCATTAAGACGAATTGAATGGTAGTAAGATTGTCTCTCTAGGATCAATATTGGCAGAGTTATTACACAAAAACCATTAATATTTTTTTAATTTCGGAAATTAATCTAGTGATTGGATTTCAATGTATTTTATACCATTAGAACCGTCTCATCAAGACGAATCGAATGGCGGTAAGATCATCTCTCTACGATTAATATTGGCGGAGTTACGATACAATAAAGTTTTGAGTATAATTTTAGCTAAAATTATGTTAATTTTTGGCCGGAATTATGATATACTAATATAAGAAATTTTTTATATAGTCACATCTCTTTATAATCACCAAATATGGACTGTCCCAAATGTGTGACTATAAAGAGAGTTGACTGTGCAACTTTGACTTCTGAAATTGACTGCTTTTCTATACGTACGTATCAAAAAAATAAAAAAAAGTGAAATTTTAATATAAAAATTCGGTTATATAACCAATTTATAAAAGCTTAGCCTGTGTAACATTTAAGTTAGCCCCTATTTATTTTATCTACCCCTAGATTATAACATTTATTGAGATTTATGACAAAGAACATAATATATGTTTTATTTAAAAAATAAATCATTGTTGGAGAAACAACTAATACAAAAAAAATTTGCGAATATATTACTGTTATATGATGCTTAATACTTCTGGTACCATTTTAGTAGAAGCGTACACGATAACATTTACTGGAATAGATACATTGAGGCTGAATGGAAAAATGACTAAAAATTGTGTCTTGCAGTTCCATTCTTATTGTGCCATCTACTTTGAAGTATTTATTGTTACTTAAGTTGTGAATTACGATGCTATCAGATATGAAGCTGATCTTATATAAAGCCAACCTGTATTTTAAAATTGATTTAGATGATGGGTTCTAATTGCCTCTATGAGTGAAGATACTTGATTGTTATTAGCATTAGATATTGTTACATCAAAAATATTTTTCACTTCCTTACCAGGACATGCTGAATTCTTAGAAAGAATTATAAAACTAAAACATGCTTGAGAATTTAAGAAAAATCGCAAATTCTAGGCTAGATGTCAGATAACCAAGAAAATTCTTAATGAGGAACCTATGATCAAATATCGCTCCCTTTCTTGAATGGATGTCTTCTTCCAAAAATATCAAATTACATTCCCTATAAAAAATTTTATCCGTTATTTCTGTAAAAACTCCGTAAAAATGAGCCTTTCACAGATTCATTCACAGAAAATGTAAATAATTCAATAAATTCTGTGATATAAAGCTATTAATTCTGGAAATATGAGCCTTTTATGGAGGACCGCTAAAGCAGGGCAGAATCACGTGACTTTCGAAATTTTTCTTTTTTTAAAATAAAACTCTTTATTATATATGAAACCTTCCAAATAAACATATATTAAGTGCATTTTGACCTGTTCTACAAGTTTACTTAGAGCACAGAATGAGGTTTAGAACACCGTTTTCGATTTATTCAATTTTTTCAATTTCGTTAAAATTGATCTATCCTTTTGTGGGTATGATCAGCAAAGTTCGTTTGCTCATATATAAAGTTAAAAACATTGTTCAAAATCCACTTTTCCTTCCTAAGTAAACTTGCAGAGCAGGCAGAAATACACTTATTTAATGATTTTCAAGTTCACTTTGATTTTAGTTTATAAATAATTTATCAAATCATAATAATTTTAAATCACGTGATTCTACCCCGCTTTAACGGGCCTCCTTTTATGGAAAAAAGATGGAATAAAAAAAATGGATTGACTTTTTTTACAGGGATTGGGGCACAACATCATTTTCATAGCAGTAGATGTCAAAAAACTCTAGAATATTGTTAATCGTGATTGGCAAAAAAGATGCATTTGTCTAGATAATGGAATTTTCCTTATTGAGGTATGTCTAGCATCCGAAAGTTTTAATGTCTTATAATCAATAGTCTTAATATATACTTGTTATTCCATGGGTATCAATGAATAACTGAAATATTCACCGATGCTCCCCTCCCCCAAGGCATCAGTTTATATGGAGTATTTATTAGATACCCATGGAATAACAGGTTTATCTCGTTGTGTATGGCATATACGCCGATGGATCTTATACTTTTTTATACTTTTTTTATACCGGTGGAATAATTTACAAAAAAATCCATCGATGTATATACATAATACTGATGTGATAAGTGACTCTATGTTTAATTAGCAGATAAATGTATATCATAGTTATTCTTAGAATACAGGCGAAATCAGTGTAATCAGCTATGATGATCATGGGTATAATTTTGCTTCTAAGAAAAAATTTGGTTGCTATTTACAGTTGGCAATAACCATTACGTTATTTTATATAATTATTATGTAATTATTTACACTGTACAATTAATAAACATTTTATAAGGTACTATCATATTTTTTCTCCTTAGTTTTTGGGAACGGCAAAGCCGTGTTAAATCCGGAGCGATCTTAACTAAAAAAAAATCAACGATCCAGTTCTTGCTTTATTGAGGTTTTTATGTAACGGTGAAGGCCCAACCAGCATCGACTCCGATTAACATTGATAGACCGCTCCGGACTAATAAACAGTTGATAATTATTTATGAGCGATCTTAACTATGTATGATATGTATTCCGGATAGTTTTATTTATCGTTGTACTGTACAATGATAATGAAAAATTGTTGTTAAACCAAAAAAATATCATTATTCATGCTACAAAACTATAAAAATCGATTCCAGATTACAGTTCATCTCAGATTTCACACGAAACGCTTTTCCAATAGTTCAACTAACAATGATTTCTTTATTTGGGATTTCTTCTCTTTTGGTAACTTTGATAGTTATCTATGTATCTCGATTCTATTATCGTTATTTTACCCGTAAGAACCCTCTACCCGGTCCATTCCCACTTCCACTTATTGGTAACTTTCATCTAAGTATTGGAATGGGATTTAATGAATTTTTTACGTCAATGCATAAAAAGTACGGAGACATGTTCGAAATATATTTGGCAGGTGAACGTAATATCGTATTATGTAGAGCAGATTTGACTGATAAGTTGAATATGCCTTCAACGAAATCTAACTTCTTCACTAGATTTGTCACAGATGAAGCATTTATTGAATATGAGTTATATGGAGTAGGAATAGGCAGTAACAATGATTTTGAATCTTGGAAGTTTAATCGTCAATTTTTTGATCAATCTATTTTGACACCGAATTTTAATTATCAAGCTGTTGAATGGGTAAACGTATTATGTAAAGAAATGGAATCTTATTGGGTTGACCTTGGAGAAAATTATGAATTAGATCTTAGTAGATGGATGCATAGATTTACAAACGAGATAATTTTCAAAGTTACAACCGGCATAAAAAATAATTCTGTTGCTTCTTATTATAATTCCATTCTTGAAAGTGACAATACTTTAAAAGGAAAAAAAGTAGAAACGGTTGAAACGGTTGAGGAATCTGATAAGTTCGTTAAGTCAGTTGAAACTTACGTAAGGGGACTGATTTATCTTACAGTTTGTAAACAGTTTGTGCTTCATTATGTTCCATTTATTCGCGAAAAGTGGAAAAGTTATTTGGAAAACAAGGATTATTTGCTTAACAAGTTAGGTAAAGTTGTTAAAGAAAGAAAAGCTGAAATTGAGAATACACCGTTAGATCAGCCTCTTCGTCACGACATGGTGACATCCTATATAACCGCGAATACGCCACGTGATATCAACACGGTAAAACGTTCCGGTGCTGATTTATTAAGACCAGCGACTGACAGAGAGATTCGTGGAATGGTACTCGATAGTTTGCTTGGTGGAACTGAAACTGTAAATAAGAGTTTTATATTTAAGAAAACATTAAGATTATAAATTCACCTCTTTTTAATCTTAATCATATAGGTGGCTAATGTGTTTTGCTTCATTGTATATTATCTCGGACGTTATCCTGAAGTGAAACAAAAAGTACGACGTGAATTGGATGCAGTTCTCGGAAATGACTTAACAAAACTTGTAACATATGAAAACCTTGAAGAATTACAATATTGCGAGGCAGTTATCAACGAAGTGTTTCGTAATTGCCCTGTTTCGTTCATGATGCATCGGTTAAATACCGAAAGTGATAATGTCGGAGGATACGACTGGCCAGCGTCAACTCGATTTCTAATGCTTTATTCTGCAATAATGAAACACAAGGATAATTGGACCGACCCTGATAAATTCGATCCTGATAGGTGGTACAAGATTGAAGAAAGTGACAAATATTTACTCGAAAAACAAAAAGCGAAAAATGTTTTCCCTATGTTTGGAGGAGGGATCAGAATATGTCCGGGAAAAAAGTTGGCGATTATTGAATTAAAATCCCTAATGATATATTTCAGAAAATATGATATTGAAATGGCTGATATCAACGCACCACTTAAACTTAGACGTGAATATATTAACACTGCTGAAGATTTCATTGTCAAGGTTAAACCAAGAAAATTCTAAAAATTGTGAAATTTGGGCGTGCAAAATCAATTTACTATTCTGATAGTTTTTTTCATATTTTGTATTTCATCATAAGTTAATAGTATCATACACAATGTATTTGTAATCAAAATCTTATCATGTTTCTATCCCAACAGTATTTTATAAGATAAAACAATGTTTAAAAGGTAAAAAAGGTTAACACTTAATTGAGTTAATGAGTTGTACAGTGCATTATTCTTCTGAATATACAGTATGCGAAGATTATTATGTCTGACTTATTTCATGTATGATATCTGTAAAAAAGATCTTTTGGTTTATTCCTATTAGGGATTGGAAATCGATTAACGCGATTAAAATCTTTTGAATTCTAAAATTCGATTTTCGATTTTCGATAATCGAATAATTGGGTCTAATTGAGTAAACTCGAAACTTTAAATGCTTTATGATCATTACATGTATTGTTTATGTAATGGGTTTTACTGTTTTAACAGTAGGTTACATTCATTCATGTGAATTGCTTTTCTTTTATACCGCGATGCTCATTGGTCATCACATTAATTACTTTCTCCTGATCGTGAAGATTTTTCTAAGCAAATAATACATGTGTAAATATTTTTCTGTCATTATTATTATGGTCACTTATAGATGATTTAGATATCTTTCTCTTCAAATCAATAGGTTCACTCTTATGCTTATTTGAATCAATGACATCCTCTAGCCTATTCAAGGCACCGCGATTTAACGTACTTGCATAATTTTGACTCTCCTGCGTTGCCTGTAGTAGTCCATGTAACTTATTTTGCAGTAAAATAATTTCGTATGTAAGCTCTATTATAAAATGTCGATAACATTTCTCATGCATATCTGAAGATTTGTTAATTTCTTCTCTTTTAGCTCGACTTCAACGGATACCCACATCTTATCTCCTTTTCGACGTGCTCGCTATGTAGTTGTTAGTTTAATAATATATAATTACAAATAATAAAGTGCTACAACCAGCCACGACGATCAACAGTTCATCAGCAGAATTCCCGCGTAGTCGCAGTTGCTAATACAATTAAAGTACCTTATTGCTAAAAGCTAGCCGTCCACAACGATCAACAGATCATAAACGGTACATCAGCAGAATTCCCGCGTAGTTGTAGAGAGCCAAATCAACTAAACCGTTGATATGGCCACGGCCTAAGAGAACTTCTATCCAGTTGCAACATCACATATGTACAAGAAAAATCTACACTCACCTTAGCTTTTCCTGAAGAATTAATGCCTGCCTTATCGTATCGGCACTGACTGATGTGCTCACAATATCTCGCAAACACCTGGTGAGTTTGTCTGCAGCCGTCTTGTAATCAAGCTTCTCCGGTCTATCTTTGTTTTTTTCTATAAAAAATGGTGGAACTCGACGATATCCCACTCCATAGAGTTTTTCGAATCAAAGTACTTGTCAGTTATCTGATTTTCCTGCAGGTCATGCAAAATAAAGGTGAATATTTCATCATTATCTACGACGTCACCATACACAGTAGTTTACCAGAGTTCCTGTGACGAGGAAAGGGTTGTTTTTTTCCATCTTCCACTGGTCCCTCCATTTTAAAGTGTAAAAAAGTTATTCTGCTATTATGCAAAAGGTAAAAAAGAATAGACGCGCTAGAATTTGTTTGTTAGCAAAAGACGCGTATTATAACAAAGCAGGTGTCACAAATTGTCATAATGATAATCAGCTTATCAGCATTGAGCTGAGCCACGGATTTTTTGTGAATTAGTGATCGTATTAGATATTTTTATTCCTGTTTCAAATTTAGTTTAAAGGAATAAGACTTTAACGTTTATTAAAGTTTTTGTTTGAAAAATTAAACGCGTTGCAAATAAAACTCAAGATTCCAAATGTAGTTATTAAATCTGTGTACTGTATGTAACAAGTAAAGATTACGTTAGATTAGCTAAAAGTAATTTTTCTCTACTGTACAAATTAAATTATTACCTTTCTTTAAGTGCATTTTCGATAATATCATTATCGTCCTTTCTTCTTTTAACATTTAACTTATTTTTTCCCAAAACATTTGTAGGTCTTTTCCCACGAATTTTATTTGGTATCCAAGAAGAATTTTCCTTGTTTTCTTGGGTTTTATTTGTTCTGTGTGATCTTGTAAATGAGTGTGGTGTAATTTTTAGTTTATTACGATCTAAAAAACTTTAACAAAAATTTTATTAATAATATATTTAGGTAACTACAAAAAATGAATAAAATTTTCTTACTTCTTTCATTTGAAACTCTGCTTGCTTTTTTATTTCAATTCCATTGTCTGTATTTGGTATATTTTGTATTCTTTGTATAATTATTTTTAAATCCTTCCAGTTCTTCACATAAAAGTTGATTAGGATTAGCGTTTGAATTTAATGAATTTTGACTTTGATCCGGAGTTTCTTCATGAAATTGATTAGCAGTATTTGAATTTAAGGTATATTGATGTTGTTATTTTGATAAAATGCTATCCTTTCAGAATCTAATGATAGATTCCATATTTCTAACCCTCCAAGAACACTAGCCGCTGCACGGATATGTTTAAGACTGGTCTTGACAGTTACAATAAGATCCATCACATAAATATACCTCATATACTTTGGACGAATTTGATTGACTTTTAAACAATACAATATCCATTCATTGGATCTATAATGTCAATCATACAGTATTATTTTCTGCAATTTCACGTGCTTTAAGTTCACGAGATTTAATTTCATTAAATTTCTATCAAAAATAAAAATAAAAATAAAAATTAATATTAGAACAAATTATTTAAAACAATAAATACTGTTACTTACTTTTTCATTAAAAATTTGCTGATTAATTTGAGTGTAAAATCGAATAGTAAAAAAATCAGAGCATTGATTTATTAAAATATTTATTAGCATGTCTATCCTTTTGTTTTTCTTTCCATGCAAAAATTTCCACTTTAATGTCTAGGAATTAAATAATTAATTTAGTAAATTATATAATTAAGAAGATAATATTACATTTATAATTACTATACTCACAGAAAAAAATCTTTCTATTAAATTATTTGTCTCATTAACCATCCAACCTGTAACAAATTTTGGTTTATAAATATTTGCCCAAAGTTGTTGGCATGACTGCCATTCTTTTTTATAGTAAGAAAGTAATTTTGTTAAGTTGTTAGTTAAAATCCATTTAATAAAATCTTGTTCTAATTGATTAAATTCTTCAATAGTAATAACTAATTTAAGCTTTCTAACAAAAGCAATAACTGTTGGTCGTGCATCTAAGGAAATTCCATTAGCAGAATTACGACACCATCTAAAAATTAAATTAAAAATTATTAATTAAATATTATCTTGTATTCAAAACAATTATAATATACAACCTTTCCCATGCTTGTCAACACTGATCGAATGTTTTAGGGCGAAAAAAAATAAACAATGACAAATATAGATATTGAATTAAAAAATCATAAACTGGACATGGTAAATTACAAGGGATTTATTGGTTGAAAACATTCTTAAAATAACACATTCAATTATTTGTAAACAAATATTTAGACCAATTTGTGTAAAATTAAATGAGAGCTATCAGCTATGCTATTGATTTACATATTTCATATTCTATAAGTGTCATCTAGAAAACCACTCTCATAATAATTAATTGATCTCGATCTTTCTACCGGTAGAGCTGGTTCGTTGAGCTTTAGGAAGCTATTAAATTTAACAATCAAATAGTAATTAGTCCCATTTAATTATCTGATCAAATTTACACATTTAATTTACCCTAACTTCCAAGATTCCATTTTCAATCACAGCAGACATCTTATCAACTTGTAGATCACAAGATAAAAAAATCTCTCGACTAACAAATCATTAAATTTGCAAATATTAAATAAATCAGTTATAATAAGTATTCATCAAAAGGCTTTAAAAAATAAAAATTTACCGGAATTTTCCACAATCACGTTCATTCACAAGTAATTTATTTCTATCGAAACCTTTATATGGTTTAAATTCACCTTCGATGACTAGGTTATTGTCACCTACAAGTTCAACATTAACATCAGATTTTTGTATTCCCTATTTTAAAAAATATAAGATATAAGTAATTAAAGAACTTTTAAAATTATAATTAACAATTAATAAATTTCCTTACCGGAACATCAGCGTGCAAAACATATTCATCAGACTTGTTATAAACTATATGATGTATAACAGATAATCAAAATTTTATCAAAGTGCTGCGCCATCAAAATTCAACATCTAGTATAGTTAATCGACCGTAGATTACTTCTTTTTAAAAAGGATTTTTACATACCATCAATCGCAGGTTTACGATAGCACGGGTCATTAAAGAAGTCGTCGAATGTACGTCGCATTCGACGAAAAGAATCATCAAAATTCATTTTTAAAATTTTTACCTATTAAAAGAAGTTTTTTAAACAAACTTTTTGGTAATTTTAAATCGTTGGGAACGATATCCTTTATAAAGAGTTTCGTGGGAATAACTTCATTACGCTAAAATGATTCATGACGATTCATTTTTAATGTGAAAAATTGTTCGTTTTACCAAATTTTTTGTCGATTGTATCACTTATATCACGTGTATCACATGCAAAGTTATCACATGACAACTCTACCCTAATTATAAAGAATCCGGCATATAAATCCGGTTTCGGGCAACACGTGTACTTCATAAAAAAGGTTGGTTCTAGAATTCTAGAATGTCTAGAATGTAATTGCCCAAAACCTAGTAATAATGTAATTACAATAATTATTATTGTCGAATAGGATAATACTGATATTGTGTGTAATGCATTCCAGAGATCAGGATAATTTTTCTGTCGTGTAGGTTTTCTTTGATTATTGGCTATAGATGTTAACACAAAAATGGCGTGATAGGGGATATTTATTTGGTAATCGATGTACATGAGTACATCTTGTAACCTGCGTAGTATTGTTAGTAAAGATAAGTGATCAAATATTCCAATTTTTCGCGAGATATATTTATAGTACAATAAACAATTCTGCAACAATTAAAAATACTGCACATTTCACCTTTTTTGGTAAGACTCATTTAATCATAAATAAGCTTGGTTAGGATCAACAACTTTTTTTGAACCAAGAAATTTTTTCTTAATAATGACTTCCTCCCCACCTAATAATGATTCTACTAAAATTGTCGAAAAAAACATTGAATCGACAACAGATATTACGTTAGGTACAACCAAGACTGACGACGAGAATAAGAATAATGATTCTAACGTAGTTGTTCAAGTAGAAACCTTTGAAACTCCAGAGAATGAATTTGAAGATAATTCTAAAGTACCACATTTATCATATTGGAAAATTTTCGTCTTATTTCTTGATTTTGGAATTCATGCTTGGGGAGGACCCGTTGCTCAAATTGCTCTTATTAAAGAAAGATTGGTTACAAAACGTCAATGGATAACTCATGCAAGATTTAATAGAGTCTATGGTGTTTATCAAATTTTACCAGGACCTGAAGCGACAGAATTATGCATGTTTTTTGGCTTTCTTGCAGGAAGAGGACGATTAGGCGGATTACTTGGTGGATTAGGATTTATCTTACCCGGATTTATATTAATATTATTATTCTCTTTTATATATGTTAAAGTAGGATTAGATAATATTTATTTTAATGCATCATTTCGTGCTTTACAGCCTATTGTAGCCGCAATGGTATTAAGAGCTGTTCATAAAATTGGAGAGCATTCATTTGTATCCCATAAAAATAATCAATTTAATAAGTGGTTATTTGGTTTAGCCATCATATCTGCCATACAAACTGCAGTGAATTTGAATTTTCTTATTACGTTAGCTGTATGTGGTATAGCATTTATGTTTATAGATAGGAAAATGTATTGGTTCGGATTATCAGTTTTTGTGTTGGAATTTATCGGATTTGGAATTTATGTTGGACTTAAGAAAGGAATTCCGTCACCTACGTCAATAGGTTAGTTATATTACGCATTTTTATAATATAATCGTTTAATTTTAACTTTTAATTTAATCATAAATAATAAAGGAATTGGAGTAGCAAAAGAAACCGATCCTGGACATATATTTGCTTTAGGTCTACTTGCGGGAAGCTTATCTTTTGGAGGAGCATACGTAAGTTTATAAATTATTTAAAAAATAGTTTTAGATTTCGTAACGAATATCTAATTATTTTTATAAAAATATTAGACAACTATACCCTTCTTGCAAGTAGAAGCCGTTAGTATTGGAAAATGGATGGCAAAACAAGTTTTTCTTGATGCGATTGCTATTGGTCAGATCTTACCCTCACCACTAGTTATGTTTTCTACTTTCATAGGATACTATGGAGGTTATGTATTTGGAGGACATGGATGGGCATTTTTGGAAGCTTTATTAATTACAATAGGAATTTTTACACCATGCTTTTTCTTTACAATAATGGGACATCATATTCTTGAAAAATTAGTACGTAATAAATTTCTTGCAGCATTTTTTGATGGTATTACAGGTAGCGTAGTAGGTATAATTGCTGTAACGGCATTAGATTTATTAAAATTTTCTATTTCTAATGTTGCAATATTAAAAAAGTTATCACCTGATAAATTAACTCTGGTTGCTGCTCAACATAGTTCTGTAGCAGCTGTTTTGTACGTTTTATCATTAGCAGCTTTATATAGTTTTAGAAGATCTCAAACATCTTTGTTATTAGTAATATTTGGTGCTATTGCTGGACAATTTTTATTTGTTGTTACAGATGATATTTAAAGTGAATGCATTTTCATTCATAATATAGAGCTTATTAAATGTAATTTTCTACGGTCAGTGATGACACGATTGCTTTAATATTAAAATTTTATAATTTTACAAGAATCTTTTCAATTTGACATTCACCATCTGCACGTGATTTCAAATTTTACTAAGTCTGAATTTTTTGAGATTTTGATCATGGTCTTTATTCCAGCTTTTATATTCTACTTTATATTTAATTACTTGTAATTTATACTATGAAATCTACTTGGATATTAAAAAACATAATGAACATATCGAGCGAAGGACTTCAATGATTTCCGTTTTACCTAGTTTAATAAAACTTGGAATAAAATTGTTTGGTAGATTTAAACAATGTTGGACTATAATGGATTTGGTATTGTAATTATGCGTATACCAATGTACCAACAAATTTTCCATGTCCCGTTTCGCAATTACAGTAATCTTATAAGTTTTAGCTTTTAGGTTACACTGGCCAGCACTTGACGATTTTGTGGTTATTAAAATTTTTTAATTTTTTTTTTTTTTAATTTTGCGCCATCTTAATTCCGTTAAAAATTAGATGTTGGTCTTAGTATAAATTATAATTTGGCTCAAATTTACGGTGTATCCGATCTTATTATAGTATGATTTTGTAAAACAGTATGTATATTGCATTTTTTGTTTTTTTGTTAGTACGTATGATTTTAAATCGTACGTACTGTACGTACATGTATATACATACGTATATAAATCATACTTTTTTACCAGCCTCGTCATACACCTTTTCGATGGCGCTAGCTCCTTCTTTAAAATATGAAAATAAAAATTTAAATAAACATAATTATGTGTTGTTTCACTCGTTTGTACGTAATAAAAAATTTAAATCATACTATAATACATACATATTATTATACTATTATTATATATTGTGATAAGTATATATGTACCATAAAAAATCATACATACAAAGTAAAAATTCCACCAACATTACTTACATATATACTCCAAATTTATAGTCTACTAATCCGTACCGATAAGAATTTGATATACAATCGACCCACTATCGACCCCTCACAGACATAGTTACATCCTTCCTTATAAGCCCATTTACGTTTGGTCCAAGTTACTAATTAGCTTATTAAAAAAGAACCTCTCACCATACAGTATTTTTATAATCTCGCTATTTTTTTCGGAGTGTAACTATATATAGGGGGGTTGAGATTTTTTTCCCTAAGGCGGAGTAAAATCACGTGTTAAAATAAATGTGTTGATGTAAAGGTTATATTGTATCTAATACAGTTTCTAGATAATAATAATAACAAAATTAGTTAGAATTCATTAAATTAATATGATTAACCTATAATGGTATAAAGTGACAATTTAAATTTGGTCATAGTTCAAATAGTCCGATAGTTCAATTGTCCAATTGTCCAATTGTCATTTAATTGACTTTACCAAATTACGTCTTACATACAAAGCAACTGCGGGTATAGCCACCTGGTCACATGTCAACGTTATCGGCCGAACCGCCGAAGGTTCAAATTATCAAATTTTTCCCAGAAATTAATTTCAATTACCATCTTGGCACCCCCTTGAAAGCACCCGGATCTAATTCCTAAATTTATTATCCCAAGCAAACACAAGGGTGAATCAATGCAATCGTAAAAAAAAAACAATTATTCATCGATTCATCAATCAAGAAAGTTATCATTCAATAATTCATGTGTAACTTGAAGGACTATGAAACCATTATTACCCCATAAAGTATATTAAGTGTGATCAGAAACGTTGGCCAGATGATGCATGTGACACATTTGCGTACGGAGTCCGGACTTTAAAAAATCAAAAAAACTGATTTCATAATTCATAGTTTTTTTTCTTTAAATAATGTTAGTTTCACAAATTATATAAAAAAAAAAATAATTCGATATTTCGAACAATTCTCGAAATAAACAAGTTTTTTTTTTTTCATTTAACAATAACGATGCAATATTTTTATTATTTTTCTTTATCGAATTTTCTTCCATTATCATGTGTTTAAATTTAACTAAATTTGAATAATTAAAATAAAAGAAATCAATGTATTACCATATATATTCAAATAATGACAAATAATTTTTTTTTTTTTATAAAAAGGGTTTATTGAAATTACCAACCAATTTCAATTTTATTCGTAATAAATACTTTTATTATTATTAAAAAATAAAATAAAATAAAATATATTCTTTATTCTTCTCGTAAAATAAATACAATTTTTTTTTAAAAAAAAAAAAATGACAGAACTTATTAATGTACCACCAAAAACGGAATATAAAAAAAGTAGTGAAAAAGTATTTTTTTCATATCCAGGAAATCAAGAACATTTTCAAATCAATTATCTTGGAGTAAATCCAAATGCTATGATAGCAGGAACTTTACATTTAAGATTTCCATCATCAGAACCAATATTAGCAAGTAAAATTGATATAATTTTTAGAGGGTCAGAAAAAGTTAGATGGACTGAAAGACGAGGAGAATCATCTGTAACATATAAAGCAAAAGAAGTTATTGTAAATCAATTATTACAATTATGGACAACATCAAAACCTGATGGAGGATATGAAGAAATTCGTAATTTAGATATACCATTTGAAATCAATTTACCAATAAATTTACCACCTTCAATTAAAATTGATGGAGGTAAAGGAAAAATTAGATATAAATTAATTGCTAATATTAATCGTAAAGGAAATTTATGGAAATTTAAAGGTTCAGAAAAAACTGTTGTATTATCAATTAATCTTAATAAATATATTTCACCTCCAATTAGTTTACATTCTTTTAATTGGAATCAATTAAATGATTATGAAGCTATAGATCGTGGTTTAGGTTATAATATTACATTGGAAAATTCTATTGGTGGACCAAATATGCCTTTTATTATAAATCTTTTATTAAAATTTCATAAACAAGATTTTAAAATTACTAAAATAACTTTTGGTATAAAAGAATATAATAAATTAACAACTAAAAGGAAAACTAGAAAATCTTCATTTTATATAATTGAAAAACAAATTAAAGGTGATGAAATTTTATTAAATTCTAATAGTGAAGTAAATACTCAAATTAAAATAGAATTACCTGAATGGAATAAGAATCAAAATTATTGTTTAACTATAAATGATAGAAGACATGTTGAAGTTAATCATAAAATTAAAATTAAAATTCATTGTGGTGGAATTTTTACTAGTAATATTAAATTAGACAAAGAAATTGAAATTAAAAATATTTTATTGGAAAATCGTAATCACAATCATAACGATAATAATAATAATAACGATTACTATAACAATAATAATGATTACAACAACAATAATGATTACAATAACAATAATGATTACAGTAACGATTATCAAAATTACAATAACGATCATAATCATAATTATAATACCAATTATAATGAAAAAAATTAACCAATAATTTAGTCATTATTATATAATATTATATTTCAAGTCATTATATATATATCATACTATTATTAATACTGTATCAAACATCAATTATGAATTCAAATAAATTAAAAACATATAATTTACTAGTCACGTGCAAGCGCACTATTATATATTATCTTGATTATCAATCATCAGAAAAAATAATTTTTTTGACCGATTGATCCTCTATAAATATCTCCGAAAACATAATCTCCGAAAACATAAAACATGACCGTAAACCCATTTTTAAATGAAATATTACAAATCATTTTTAATAACCTTGATGATGATATTGATTCTTTATTTTCATCATTATTTGTAAATAAAAATTGGTGTGAAAATGTCATCCCCGTCTTGTGGAGAAGACCATTTGGTCATAATCTTGAAACAACGAAAATGAAAAAAATAATTCCAATCCTTCTTTCACAAATCTCATTACAAGAGAGAATCAATTTAGGACTTGAAAATATTCCAACTAAAACTATGTTTAATTATGTATGGTTTATTCAACAATTTGACATATCTTTATTATGTAGTTTAATTTATGATAATGAATATATCATGGCAATAAGCAAAACTATTTTTATGAAAACAAAAAGATTAGATGAATTAACATTTTCTGGAAATTTTAAAAAAAAACTTTGTAAAAATATTTTTACTTTACCAAATTTACAAATGTTACTTAATCATATTACAAAGTTGAAGTTTAATACTTATGGATTCAATTTATCTTTTTCTGATTTATCAATTTATTTTAAAAATATCAAAGATCTTACCGTTGAATTTTTGTTTGAAGAATATAAAAATAATTTGAAATTTTTTGAGGATCTTATTGAATTTATTTCTGTTCAAAATAATTTGGAATATTTTAACTTAAATGTGAACCCTCCTATGTTTAGTGATGATTATAATAGGCATATGGAAAAATGGAGAGGACTTTTCTTTAAACTTTCCGAATCTCATTCTATAAAGTATATAATGATTAAAGGTTGTTTTAATGGAGAACAAACTGATTTGAATTTTTTATTTAATTGTTCAAATCTTGAAGAATTACATTTAGATTCTATGATTATTGATTTTGATCAAATGATATGCTTAAAAGATATTTACCTACCAAAATTATTTTCTTTCTCATTATTAGATTGTTTTATAATTTCTGGATCTGGTAAACGTTATGAAGAAAAATTTTTTAAATGGCTAGATTACATTATGGAATTTTTAAAGAATCATAGTAATAATTTGAAGGAATTAAAGATAATTTCATATAGAGAATTAAGGGAAGGACAAAATTATTTAAAATCAATCCTTGATACTTTATCATTATATTGTCAAAATCTTACATTGATTGGATTAAAATTGGAACATATTTTTGGTTATATGAAAAGATTTGAACGTGATAATCTTGAGAACGTTGATGGAGTGTTAAATGAGTTCAAATCTTTTTGTAATAATTGTCCAAATCTACAAAAAATTATTTTATTTGCTTCAATATATTATAATTTTAATTTATCTGAAGAATTAATATTAATTTTTATAAGATCACTTCCTAAATCTTTAAAATCTCTTTCATTTGAAGGAGTAATTGAACTTAATCTTTTAGAAGAAATTATGAGAAATTATATTGATAATTTAATTAATTTAGATTTCTATTATTATATATGTGTTGATGTATTAAAAAGTGAAATTGATGAAATGACAAAAAATAGAAAATTAATACTTAGATATGATAAAAAAAAAATTGATATTAAATGGACATCAATATATAGATATTTTTTAGATTTTAATTAGGTTAGCTATTCATAGAATGGATGGCTGAGAATTTGACTTATAATAATAGTGTTTTCAAAATACTTAAATAAATATAATTACTTATAATTATTCAAAACATTCTTTATTAATACTGTAATATTCACAATTTCACAACTTTACACCAGAAATTTATTTGAATCATAAAAATCAAGTATTTAATATTGTCCAATTGAATTTAACTATTGCTATTTGCTACTTCATTCTATTGTCTTTATAAAAAGCAAGGTTTTTGCTTTTATAAGGATCGAACGTAAGTTAAAATCTATTTTTTTTAGAAGTGGATCATTCACACAACAACAGAATTTTCATATATAATGGCACTTGGAAAATAATATTTACCCAATACATATTGTGTTCAATGAAATTTTTTAATTATTCGTTCTCCCGTAAATGTTCCTGTTGATACGTCAAATATAGGTAATACTGGACTATTAATTGATACTATTGAAAAAGGCACATATTCTTCAACTATTTCAACATGTGAATGTCGGCACTTTGAATCATGATATCGATTCTCACCAATTCGTTCAGGATCATGTCTATGAGGGCATCGGTGATATTGAATGAGTTCCATTCCCTTTCCAATGACATGATAACCTTTCTTTAAGTAATCTTCAAGATCCCATAATCGAATTTTAATATTTTTTGTAGAATCCAGGTTTAATTTAATTTCAGTGATAAGTTTTTCAATACAATAAAATTCAGCTTCTTGCAATAATTCTTCAAGTAGAGCCTTATCTGACAAAGCTCTTTTTGGTAAAGTATTATTTCTTAAAAATTCGAGCACATATTTGAATAATTCACCGCTTCTATCAATGAAAATGTTATTGTTATTATCAAGTGTAAAAGAGAAATTATTACTGAAAAGACCTGAAAAGAAACTTTCATATTTTAACAATGTATCTTTTGTAGTAGTGTAAAGAACACCACCAACATTAAGAGTTACAATTGTATTCATTATAAAGTCGAGAGAAAAAAAATATTATTATTATTTTTTTTTTTTTTTTGTAAAATTTTATTAATTTGATATCCTTGTTTGATAAATTTGGTAGTGTCATTGTTAAAAGTGATTGTTGATCGTTCACTTAATAAGAGAAATGCATATTCTAGAAAGAAAAGGGTTCTGTAGTATATTTGGTAGGTTAAATTAAATGAGATTATTTTAAAAAAGCAATGAACGGAAAATTATTGTAAATCTTTTTAATAATAAATGTGTTATAAATATCTGATAAATTAATTGTACTGAATTAATTTAATTAATTTAAACTTTAAAAGTTCATATGTTATCAATCTATATTAAACTTTAAAAGTTTATAATAAATGATATGTTATCAATCTATATATAAAAACAATATTTCTATTAATAATTAATCTAGACTTTACCGTATAGAATTGATTAAGGGACACCCGTTTTGGCGTCCCCCTTATAATATACCCAGGTATGGTTTCTGGTAAAATTAGGCTAATTCTGGACGATTTTTTTTCATGTTCCATACAATTAAAATGGATTATCCAATTGTAAAATGATTTTGCAATAATTTGTTAATTATAAATGGCAAATAATGATGATAAAATAAGTAATTGCTATTCAAAGTCCCCCGGGTACCTATCTTAGTCAGCGCTATACGGTAACATGAATTTTGCCAGATCAATAAAACAAAAAAACCAATGAATTAAATAATTTTAAAATGTTAATACTTAAAACATCACGCTTTAGACGTACGTGGCTATGTTCAATACAAAACCATGCAATGTTTGTCTATCCGCAAACAATCTGGTTATATAAGAAAAAAATTCAATTTTATAGAATACACCCGGTTTAAACTTTAAAGGTAAGGATAAGAAAGTTATATATACAACGGGGGTGAGCCAACATTATACGGCATTATGAGAAATTATTTTTCGGCGAAATGGCTTTCGACGAAATGTCCTGATACGGCGATACCATATCACGTACTTTGCTTTTAACATACCGTTTAGAAGGATAGGAAAGGTTAAACCATTGCAATGCACCGAGTTCAGGGGATAAACTATAAATAGAAGATAATTTGGATTAAGATATCTACCGGCGATTTTACCTTAAATAATTTTATTAACTGGTATATCTGATAATCTGATTCTTGCACTTAACATCGAGGGGGAGGGCCGGGGCAAGATGACTTGAATTTCCTAAAATAGATAAGAACAGGGAGGGGAATCGAATAGTGTTCGAATTAAATTAAAATTCATTGAATATATTAAAATTTATTCGATTTTATAAAATTTAATAAATAATACTTAAAAGACTATAATAAATTAAAATTGAAGTTCGCGTTTACTGACACATAATATTGAACACAATTTCAAGATCTAGATCTTTAAATATTAACCAAACTAATAACGGAAAAACTTCCATTTAAATTCGGGCCAAATTTATAGTGTCAGACCAAATTAGTCCAAAATATGTCATTCGAATTCATTCAGCCATTCTTTATCAAAGCATTGTTCATTTTTCTATTCTTATCCATTCATTCCATGTCGAAATGTATGAATGTTTAATTATAGATTGAAAATTTTAACCCGTAAATTTCTACAAAGAAATGCACTAATCTTTTGTACTAATCCTTTTAGAGATGGCCCGACTCTGGTGTTACAAGTACACTTGCATATTGAATTACAATAATACATTACAGATTACACGAATTATATAAAAAAGGAAAAGGTTAATCAAATGGTTGCGGCTTAGATCTTACATTTGATCTAACCTAATTATTATTAAATGGAAATGCCAAGCAATACTCTATTATTAAACAAAACTTTTTTGGTATTTTTTCTTGCGCGTAAAATTTATCCCGTATATCTTTTTTTTTTTTCGTGTAAACTTTAAAACCCAAATTTAGAATTGTTTTATTTATTTCAAAGTCGTATCGACATTTTTGGTAAAATATTTTAAAAGAAATTTCACGAGGAAAAAAATAAAGAAGTAATAATATAAAGATATTCCTTATTTTATTCTTTTGCATATTAATTGGGTTTAACGGTGTCATACCTCGTTGAGAATACACTTGTTAATTGTTGGTTTATTTGAACGTTTTAGTTACAAGTTTAATTATGATTCTAACTATTTTCTATAATGTAAACGTAATAACAATTATCTTTTATAATTGTAAAAAGTTTCTTGGCACTTACTTGGCAATTTTCATGGTCTCATCTGTTAAACTATATATATATATATATATATATTACTGTATATATTTCATTTATACAGTATTATTCGTGTCAATTATCATTATTATATATTATATATATAATAAATTTTTATTATTTTAAAATTAAAGAAAGAAAAATAAAAATAAAAAAAAAGTTATATTTAGTATTGGCAAAAAGTTCTTTCTTTACGAAAGAAAATGAAATAAAATGACTTTTCTTTTTTGAAGATAGATGATCAAATAAAATCATATTTTTTTTGTTTAAAAAGATTGACCAGTAAAAAAGAAGCTTAAAGTTTAAGTTTATATGCAAGTTATTATCGGAGAAAAGAAATTATTTTTATTTTATATATTATTAGAAACGAGCAAAATCGTACATTTTTAGTTACATACAAAGGTATACAACACATATATTAAGCCAAGAGTTTCCATTAATAAATATTAATAAATTAATTTTATAACTCCTTGCATCATAATCTTTTACATTTAATTCATGACGTATCAAAAAAAAAAAAAAAAAAAAAA